CAAAAAATGTGAAAATCATGCTAATTTATTATTATTTTTTAATAAGTGGAGATATAAACCTTGCAAATAGATCCACTTAGAGATTTTCCAAACCCTACGTTCTTACCACTCACATCACAAGTACAAATTTGATATACATATCTTGTTTTTTCCTATATTGTCAGGAACGCTTGCTACAATATTCAGTTCTTGAGCGATTACTATACGTTACCCAAGTTACATTAATCTGCACCTAATGGGTAACAGAAATGCAAAGTTTTAAATTTCCGAAACGAAGGACTGCGGACTGTCCATGATTGTCCGTTGTTTTTTCAGAAATTTCTTCATCCTCTTAACCACTATCAAAAGAATTTACTTTACACATGGTTAATCCGAAAATCTGTAAATACTATATTATCTCTGATTGTTCCGGTTCGAAGTTTGTTTAAAATTTTGTTTTGATTTTGTTTGTTATCCCGCGGATTGCTGACAAGTGTATTTTGGTCACTTTCCACTAGAGGCGCCATAGTACCGAGCAAAAAGGCCCGGTACTTGGGGTTGGCGCTGTTATCGAAGAGAGTTATCGAGAAACCCTCAGAGAGGTAACATCGCTAAGGTGGGCGTTAAGTGAACGCAGTTGCCATCTTGTGTGACGTAAATCGCGAATTGTTGTCGCGAAACTTAGACACGTGGTTCCTTTGTGCATGCGGTCTACAAACCCTCAACCCAGGAGGCTGAACAAAACAAGGTAGGTGACCTTTTGATGCGTTTGTCAGCTTCGATCCAAATTTTAATATTATTTTTTTGGAATTGTAAAATCGCCGCGAAAAAAAGGTGTTTTCAAAGCCTTTACGTCCAACATATGGTCCTTCGAGCCGGATTTAGGGTAATTACGAGAGATTTGTAGATTCCAGCACAAATTTGTTGTGGTTTTGCTAAGCGTGATTAGCACGCATTTTCAATTGATTTTAAATTATCGGAATACGTAAATTCGAGTTTACATAATGGCTACCGTTGCCGCGCTAAGTAATGGACGCGCTAGTTTGATCAAACGCGTGGAGGCTTTAGTGAATCTATCGCAACAAGCCAGAGTCCACGAAACTGTACGAGGAGAGTTTTTTATTCGAGCTGCGGACTTAAACCATATTGTTGCCCAGTTTGAGCAGCGACAGTTGCAAATTGTCGAATTATGCACCACCCCTGAGGAGCTAGACGAACAATACGAGGTGCAATCAAGATTTGACGATATGCAGTATTCAATTAAATCGGTTGCAGCGGAATTAAATCGCGAGGCCGCGCAGTCATCCGCACCCAGGGGCAATTTAACATCAAACAACGTCAAATTGCCCAAAATTCAAATTCCGACGTTTGACGGTCAGATCAAAAACTGGCCCACATTTTATGATTTGTTTCGGTCGCTTATCCACAATAACCCAAATCTTAGCGCAATTGAAAAATTTCAATATTTGTCGACGTCATTGTCTCGCGAGGCGTCTACCGTCATCAAAAATTTGCCGATTTCGGCGGCAAATTATGCTATCGCATTCGATGCGCTGGTGGCGCGTTATAACAATAAGCGCGTATTATTGACAAATTATTGGCAAGCGATCTATAGTGCACCCAAAGTGAATGGAGATTCGCCGAATTTGTTGCGAAATTTGTTAAACGTGTTTTCTGAAAATTTGGCCGCGTTGAAGCAGTACGATGAAGTCGATTTGTGGGACTTCACGTTATTAAATTTAATGTTGCAAAAACTGGACACCACGTGGAAACAGAAATTTGAGTTGAGTATTGTAGGAAATTCCGTACCTGCTTACAATGACCCCCAAGAATTTTTGCTTAAACATTGTACCGCGTTGGAAACTTCCGTTATGACAATGGGTCATAATTCCGCATCCGCCCTTCGTAAACCCACAGCTGCATCTTCCGTACCTGCCAAGCGTCCCGTGACGTCATCGTTTGTCACGCGATCACCAATCAACAAGGAACAATGTCTTAATTGTTCGGATGAGCACCCATTAACGAAATGCGATGCTTTCTTAGAAATGGAACCACGGGATAGACATACTTTCGCGCGTAAGAAAAATCTGTGTTACAATTGTTTGTCGAGGGTGCATTCGGTTAGCAAATGCCCATCTAAATTAAACTGCCGGGTTTGTGATTGTAGACATCACACGTTGTTACATTTTGTCCCCAAACCTAGCGCCGAGCCGGAAGAGGTGTCAGGGATCTTTGGGGACCCATCGGTCGACGACGGGGTCAAAGTAATGACACTAATGACTAACGCGATCGCGACCCATAGTTTCACTTTGTTGGCGACCGCGCGAATAATTGTGGTGGATTCGCGAGGTAAATATCGCGCATTTAGGGCGCTTTTGGATACTGCGAGCGAGGCCACCTTTGTCACAGAGCGGTGTGCAAAGGTTTTAGGGCTCCCTCAAACTAACGCGGTGGTACCAATTCAAGGCTTGAATCAAATGTCGTCAAGCAGTACGTCGGGTGTATTGAAATGCGAAGTGAGGTCACATTTAGTGCGTAACTTTTCATTGAAAGCTGAAATGGTCGTTGTGCCTCAAATTTGTGGTGACGTTCCCACAAGGGCAGTGTCACAGGATCGTTTGCGACAATTTCGTCACATACGTAATTTGAAATTGGCTGACCCGGAATTCGGTAAGCCACAACAAGTGGATGTCTTGTTGGGTGCTGATGTTTACGGACAAATCGTGACATCCGGCTTCAGGAAAGGTGGGCTCGAGAAACCGTCCGCGTTAAATACTGTTTTCGGGTGGGTACTGATTGGGGGTGTTAAGCGTAACAAACAACAAACCGCGGTTAGGTCCTTTTGTACGTCCATAGACAACTCTGTAGACGCGGCATTAAAACGCTTTAGGCAGCGTGAGCAAGTCCCACAACGCAGTATGGTGGCCCCGCAAGACGCTTGGTGTGAGGAAAAAGTCACGTCGTCGATCGCATGTGACATCCAGGGTAGTTACCATGTTCAATTACCTTTCGCCGACAAGACGCCGTCCTTATTAGATCGGTCCTCCGAATCAGCAGTGCGCCGTTTTCTCGTCCCTGAGTCGCGCCTCTTTGCGGCCGACCTATTGTCATTTGCCCGGGAAACCCTCAAGGGTGTGTTGAACACACACAGGGTGTGTGCGTGGCCCGACTCAAGAGTAACGCTAACGGGAATTAAGTCGCGGCCCGGTCATTGGACCACTTTTGTTGCAAATCAAATCGCGCCCATACAAGGTATATTCGAACCTTCGGCATGGAATCATGGAAGCGGCCCTGATAACCTAGCCGACTGTGCCTCGAGGGGGTTACTCTTACAGGAGCGTGTCACACATTCGCTATGGTGGGCGGATCCCATGTGGTTGACAGGTATTGAGTGGCCTCTACAAGTAGACCTAGAAGTTGGTACCGGTAGGGAACTTGAAGTACACAGAAGGGAATTGCATCATGCGTTGTTAATACCTGTGCGAATGGCACAAAGTAAAGTGTTTGCCAATGAAATCCGTTCATTGCAAAAGAATGGCACGTGTTCAAAACCATTCTACGAATTGACCCCGTTCCTCAACGACGGTTTGATTCGCGTCACCGGAAGATTGCACCAAACGGAACTGCCCTATGAAACTAAGCACCCCTTGTTGTTGCCGCGCTCGCACAGTCTAACCGAACTAATCATAGAGGCCGCTCATCGGACACACTTACATGTCGGATTCCGGACATTACAGTATTTGTTGTTGCGTGAATTTTGGATTCTGTCAAGCCGACGCGCCATCGAACATACCCTTCGACGATGTAACAGATGCTTTCGCGTAAATCCAAAGCCAATAACGCCGTTTATGGGTGAACTACCGAGGCCGCGAGTAACGCAAGCAAAGGTTTTCACGCACTGTGGAGTGGACTTTGCTGGCCCTTTCTCCATTACAATGGGACGGCGTCGGGGTGCGGCGCGGTTGAAGGCCTACGTCTGCGTTTTCGTCTGTTTTGCGGTAAAGGCCATCCACCTGGAATTGGTGTCTAACTTGACTTCGGAAGGGTTTTTGGGTGCATTACGTCGTTTAGTGGCGCGTAGAGGACAATGTACTGACATATATAGCGATTGCGGTACAAATTTCGTTGGCGCCAATAATCTGCTTCAGAAATATATGCAAGCACCGGCCGGTAGCTGCGGCATCAAATGGCATTTTAACCCCCCGTCGGCCCCCCATATGGGAGGATTATGGGAGGCGGGCGTTAAATCGTTCAAATCGCATCTTAAGCGCGTTGTAGGCGAGCAACTCCTAACCTTCGAAGAATTTAGTACCGTATTGGCGCAAATTGAAGCCGTGTTGAATTCGCGACCCCTGTGTCCCGTCTCCGCAGATAACCCCGAAGATTTGTCGGTTCTAACACCCGGGCATTTTTTAACCTCAGGACCGTTAGTGGCCGTTCCCGATGAACCGTTGGAGGCAATGCGGTTAAATCGGTTAAGTAGATGGCAGCTCGTGCAACGGTTGCACCAGGATTTTTGGCATAGGTGGCAACAGGGTTATCTCCATACATTGCAGCAACGAAATAAATGGAACACGTCGAATAACCTACCGTCGGTAGATACGCTGGTCGTAATCAAGGGTGATTCGGTGGCCCCGTTGCAGTGGCAACTTGGCCGAATTGTCGCGTTGCACCCGGGAAAAGACGGCATAGTGCGAGTTGCACAAGTACGTACCACTAGCGGCCTGATCACACGTCCTCTAGTGAAGCTGTGCCCGCTTCCTCGTCAATAGTTTGCATTCATATTGTATTTAGTTTTAGTCATTAGTTTTAGATTGTCAATTAACCTTATATTGTGCTGGAACCTACGTAAAAAAAAAAAAAAAAAAATTTGTTTAATTTTCTTTTGGTGGGCGGAATGTTCCGGTTCGAAGTTTGTTTAAAATTTTGTTTTGATTTTGTTTGTTATCCCGCGGATTGCTGACAAGTGTATTTTGGTCACTTTCCACTAGAGGCGCCATAGTACCGAGCAAAAAGGCCCGGTACTTGGGGTTGGCGCTGTTATCGAAGAGAGTTATCGAGAAACCCTCAGAGAGGTAACATCGCTAAGGTGGGCGTTAAGTGAACGCAGTTGCCATCTTGTGTGACGTAAATCGCGAATTGTTGTCGCGAAACTTAGACACGTGGTTCCTTTGTGCATGCGGTCTACAAACCCTCAACCCAGGAGGCTGAACAAAACAAGGTAGGTGACCTTTTGATGCGTTTGTCAGCTTCGATCCAAATTTTAATATTATTTTTTTGGAATTGTAAAATCGCCGCGAAAAAAAGGTGTTTTCAAAGCCTTTACGTCCAACACTGATCTTTTTACAAACTATGTAGGTGATTTTATGGTTATCTTTTGTTGATAATGAGTAGGGTATAGTCGCCTCATCTCTTTAAGAAACTTTGACTAAAGTTATAAATCATAACGACAAAGAAACCCGCCGCATTTAAGTATAGTAGTCCAAGAGCTATAAGGTTATATGGCCATCATAAAATTATCCCATTGTGTGGAAGTTAAGTTGTTTATAGTAGAAAAAGTTTTAGGGTCGTAAATAACGTGTCCACTGCAGCTGCACCGGCTGTTGTTGTTTCGTTCAGGGGCGACTTTCACTAAATATCTAAATCTAAGCAAGAACATTTTAGAAGACGATTTATTGCCAACCGGCAAGCTTAGTGCGAACCACACAAAGGGAGTATTTATTTGCGATCAACTAGTTTTATGATAGTCATATAACCTTATAACTCTTGGACTACTTTACCTACTTTACCACAGTAAGTAGGCTAAATACCTTCTTCTGATGATGTTAATGCACCCCATCCTTTTATACCTGCTTTATTTGTATAGTAATATCTTTGATCATTCATGGACACTATTATTACTATAAAATTTAATTTAATTAAAGATGCTCTGCAGTGGAGTCGTACTCATACTGGCATTTGAAGAATAGTATATATAAATATTACTGTACAAATAAAGCAGGTAGAAAAGGATGGGGTGCATTAACGTCATCAGAGGGAGGTATTTAGCCTAAGCTACTTACTGTGGTGAAGTACTTAAATTCGACGGGTTTCTTTGTCGTTATGATTTATAATTTTAGTCAAAGTTTCTTAAAGTGGTGAGGCGACTATACATGGTCAAGGATCTTTTCTTTAACCAAATTTTGAAAAAATGATTATATCATTCCTAAATTTCACAACTTCTAATTAAGTAATTTCAATCACAACTTATTCTTAGCTGTGTTTTTAAGAACCATCCCGAGTACACCAGCTTTCTACTAAAAAACACCATAAATAAATTGGATCGTCCATTTGGGAGCTATGGTGTCACAGTCAAATCCACAGACAGATAAAGGCTGCAAAGTTACAAGTGGCGTAAGTGATTACCATCAAACATGGCTAGGAACCACCCCGATCGAACAAGCTTTCAAACAAAAAAAGTCGCATTGAAATCGGTTCATCCGTTTGGGAGCTATGGTGCCACAGACACAGAGAAAGATAAAAAGGGGTCAAAATTGTAACACCCCTTTTTTTAAGTCGGGGGTTAATAAATAAACAAGAGTATGTTTCTGTGATTTTTTTTTTCGCAAACTAGTTTTGAAACGCGAATACATTTTTTCATAATTCACGTCAGTTTTGAGACATGTCCCTTGATGAATTTACATAAAAGCGTTTTTATAAGAGAAAATTTAGGTACCAAAAAATGCTTCGACATTGCCTTGCTTTTTCAATTTTGGTAGGTTAATACGAGGACCCAAAGTTAAAAATAACTACGAAAATTTACCAAAAAAGTTAATTTACTGGAAAAATACATACATAAAACTGTATTGTAAAATTGTAATATTAAGATCATACAAATACCTACTTATTTTTTTCTTATTTAAAAACAAAAATGGGCTGAATCCAAAAAAAATAATTTGGTGACCATTTAAAAAATTTAGAGGATCGTAATTCAAATCAGTCAAATTAAGGATTTTGCATAGCTAAAAATTTCAGCAGAAAATCTTAAGTGATGCCTTAGGCCGGGGACATATCTGACGGAACTTCAGCTGCGTAATTTCGCTCCATGGTGTCAAATGAAAATACATTGAAAGCGCCAGACCTGTGCGGACAAAACGCAGTACGCGCGCGTCATTCCGCTTGTCGGCGCTTGGGCACGCTGAAGCGTAATTTCGACAATAATGTAACCCATGGTTTGTATAGGAACACGCCATATTAGCGACGAAAGTCCGCAGCGTAATTTTGTGTTTGTTTGAATTTTTCTAATATTTTGATTTAGAATGATTGACACAGAACGATTTTTCCAAGAGTTCATCAAAAGATGTAATCGATAATCAATAATATTTAAAAAAAAAAATCTCTGGATGGCGTCTTCTTTTTTCATATTAGCAATTGAACTGGTCAATGCTTAGACGTTTTAAATGCAATGGATATACTCCATATTTTCTTCTTTTTTTGTCATTTTCTAGAGCTTCATAGATACATACTAACTCTAGCGAATCCATTTTCAAACAAAACTACACGTTTTTTCCCCAACACCGCAGAAGTGATGCTAACACCTCGCGTAATTTAAATTTGATTTGTGGAGGGGTAGTTGAAGCTGAAATTCCGCGCGCTGAATTACGCAGCTGAAGTTCCGCCAGATATGTCCCCGGCCTTAAACCGCAATTATCTCTGAAGTAAGATTAATTCCAACATGGTTCCTTTGTGTATCTTAATCTTTAAAACAATAGGTAAATACAAATACGACATATCAAATATAAATATTACCGTACCGTAGTAAAAAATATAACAAGGCAACCAATAAACTTTCAAATAACTTTAGGTCTAGGCATAGAAAAAATTTCTTTGTTCATCAATAAAAGTAACATAAAAAAAAATTGGTCTAAAGAGTTTAGACAGTACTTCCCTCGCTGTCGGAAACTTGACGACTGCATGCCTATTGTGTTTTTTTTCTCATTACATTTTTGTAGTGGGAATTTAAAAAAAAATTGCGATGACGTCATCAACATTTTTGCAAGGACACGTATATCAGTTGGGATAGATGTAGTGCAATACTAAGAATAAAATTATTATATTCTCAAATTTTCGGGAAAATGAATTGGGTCGTTTGAATATTGATTTGTAATAATCAATAAAATAACGAAACAATTTACTCACGTATACCTACGTATCAGAGGCAACTAAAAATCGTGTATGTATAAACATTGTTAATTTAAGATGACAGGCGTAACAGCATACGTGAGAGCCAAACACAGAAACTGTAAACAAAACGACCGTCGGTTTTATTGCTTCGACTTCCGCTTATTATATAAAACATTGGGTTTTATTTTAATTCTTGACGGTGAAATTCACAATTGGTTGATTATAAACATGTCTATTTCGCATTCGCGGAACCAAGTGACCGCATAAAACAAATGCAGATCTGTAACGTTAAAGTCGATGTAAATAAGCGTGCTACCCTTATGTTTCAACCGAGTTTTTCCTTTAACAAATTTTGTGTCTACCAAATTGGGTTGGTTGGGGTGTAATACTAATAATAAGTGTTGCCTTTAATTTAATCAATAAAATAAATTGACTTCATTAATTTTTTTGAACCACCTCTTAAGAAAATCTAAAAAATATGAATGGAATGATAAATCACAAGTACAAACTCATCATATTTTTTGCATTTTAGATAGGATTTATTCAGCAAAATTTAAGGGTGACGTCATCAATTTTTTTAGGAGGGATGAACAAATACATTTTGAACAAAAGTTTACCATGCTTATAATAACTTTAAAATATTCCCAAGATTTCAAAGCATTCGGTTTTGTAATTCCTGATTAAATCGATAAAATAAATTCACGCCTTCATTAATTTTTTTGAGTCACCCTGCATATGCAAATCCAAAAATATGAATGGAATGATAAATCACAAGTACAGACTCATCATATTTTGTACATTTTAGATGCGATTTATTCGGAAAACTTTTGAGCTGACGTCATCAGTTTTTTGTAGAAGATAACCAAATATATTTTGACTAAAAATTTATTATGCTCTTTATAACCTTAAAACATCTGCAAGATTTCAAAGCATTCGGTTTTGTAGTTCCTGATTAAATCAATAAAATAAATTTACGCATTCATTAATTTTTTTGAGTCACTCTGTATATGCAAATCCAAAAAATATGAATGGAGTGATAAATGACAAGTACAGGCTCATCATATTTTGTACATTTTAGATATGATTTATTCGGCAAACTTTCGAGCTGACCTCATCAAGTTTTTGGAGGGGATAAGCAAATATATTTTGACTAAACATTTATTATGCTCTTTATGACCTTAAAACATCTGCAAGATTTCAGAGCATTCGGTTTTGTAGTTCCTGATTAAATCAATAAAATATATTTACGCATTCATTAATTTTTTTGAGTCACCCTGTATATGCAAATCCAAAAAATATTAATGGAGTGATAGTTCACAAGTACAGACTCATCATATTTTGTACATTTTAGATATGATTTATTCCACAAACTTTTGAGCTGACGTCATCAAGTTTTTGGAGGGGATAAGCAAATATTTTTTGACTAAAGATTTATGATGCTCTTTATAGCCTTAAAACATCTGCAACATTTCAAAGCATTCTGGTTAGCAGATTAAAAATTAAATTTCAAAATGTTGTTTTATAATTTTGATTTTTTTTCCAAAAATCTGGACGTTTCGGGTGAAAAGTCGATTCAGAGTTGTAAACTACATGTGTAGGACTATGTTATTTTATACAATTGAAAACCCATTTACTATGTACAATTTTGAAGTGACGTCATCGCTTTAGTGGTGGGGATGATTCGACAAATTTTGGTTAGCGTTTTACCATCTACATGATATTCTTAATATAAGTACAAAATTTCACAACAATCGGTCGAGTACTTTCGGAGATTATCTGTCTAATAAAAATCCGTGACAACAGACGGACAGACGGACAGACGGACAGACGGACAGACGGACGGACAGACGGACAGACGGACAGACGGACAGACGGACAGACGGACAGACAGACGGAAATGGGAGACCTATTTCTTCGTCTTCTAGGGGTCATGAAAGATCGAGAAAACGTAAAAGTAGAGAGTCGGCCGACGGACTCGATTACAATACTTCCTTTGCTTACGCTCGGGAAGTAAAAAACGAAAAAAGTTGCTTAGCATTTCAGATAAACTGTTCCACG